ATATATATATATACACACACACACACACACACACACACACATATACATATATATACTTCATCACTAGATGCTTTCAAGAAGAGACTGGACTGCCATCTGTCAGAAATGGTGTAGGGTCTCCTGCTTGGGTGAGGGGGGGTTGGACTAGATGACCTACAAGCTCCCTTCCAACTCTGTTCATCTGGAATCAGTCACAATTAACCAGTGGAACAGCTTTGCCTCCAGAGCTTGTGGGTGCTTCGACACTGGAGGTTTTTAAGAAGAGGCTGGACAATCATTTGTCTCTAATTGTATAGGGTTTCCTGCTTGAGCAGGGGGTTGGACTAGAAGACCTCCAAGGTCCCTTCCAACTCTGGTATTCTATATTTTGTATTATCTCCATTTTGACATTATTTGCTTCCAATATGTTGCATCAGAAGTTGCAAAACTGCCAGCAACTTAAAACAGGCTTGGAAATTGTGTCAAGATTACAGGTAGCCTCGACTTAACAACGGTTCGTTTAGTGACTTTTCAAAGTTACAACGGCATCGAAAAAAGTGACTTATGACCACTTTTCACACTTAATGACTGTTGCGACATCCCCATGGTCACAGGATCAAAATTCAGATGCTTGGCAACTGGCATGTATTTATGACTTTGTCATGCCCATGTCGGAGTCTGAAGAGGAATCCGAGGAGGAAGACGAACAGCTGACAGGGAGCACGAGTGTGGCTCCGTTGGCTGTAGAGGAAAGGGCAAAGTCTGTCTGGGCAGAGCAGAGGAGAGGTAGAGCAAGGCAGAGGGAGTTCAGAGGAAGACCCAGGCCCACCCCCTCTTCATCCTAGGGCACACAGGGAGGAACAGAAGGGAGCAACGTGGGTTGCGTGGCTTGTGGGAGAGGAAAGGGCCCTGATCCCCTTCATTAGCTGCAGCTGGGAAGGGAGTTTTAAGAGACATGTATGCTGAGTGCGGCAGCTGCTAAGTTTGTCTTGTGTAGACTTTGCTTATCTGTGTTCATGGCATCTTCCCAATCCTGTTGAGTTATTGTGGTGCCTTCATGTCTGGAATTCTTGCTCTTGCCCCGCTGGAATAATTTCTTCATTTTGCCTTGGTTGGACTTATAGTTACAGTTTTTGTTGACCATGTTTTGGACTTGATTCTCTGCAGCCCAAGGCTGTTCCTGGGAGAGTTTTTCTCCAGCCCAGAAGGTAACCTGGACATTGGGGGCAAAGTTGGAGCTAATAAAGGGACTCTTATTGATTAACTGACTGTGTTGCCTTTGTGCCACGCCCTAAGACATCACGCTGTTGGTGTGTCCAGAGGTATCGCGATCCATTTTCTGACTAGCAAAGTTAATGGGGGAAACCGGATTAATTTAACAACCATGTTACTAGTTTCACAAGTGTAGTGATTCCCTTAACAGCTGTGGCAAGAAAGATGGTCAAATGGGGCAAAGCTCCTTTAACAAATGTCTCCCTTAGCAACAGAAATTTGGGGCCCAATTGTCATATGTTTTGGCGACTACCTGTACTGTATGCAAACATTTGGAAATGGCAATGAAATGTCTACAAGCAGAAGCCTGGATTGGAAAACTGACTTGAGCCAGTAAAAATAGCAAAATTCACCCGTTTATACAGAGAGAGAAAAAAACAAATCTTTTTTGAAAGCTTGGAAAGCTGATATGGATGTTTTGTTGACAGAAGAAAAAAACAACATTGATATTTTAGGGTTTTGGAAATTAAAAATTAGTCAAAGAGTTTGAGGAAAAAAAATTAAGATGACAATTACTCGATAGCTAGAAGGGTGGAAGGCACAATTACATTTTTTTTCCTCCTAATTTCTTGTTTATTTCTTATTTACTATCTCTTCTTGTTTGTTCTGTATATTTTAGCACACTGTAAATTGGGGTGAATGTGTATAGAAACCAGTCTTGGCAGTACAGCCCTCCAGATGTTAACAGAACCCTCCAGATTTTGAAAACTGGTATTGAGATGCAATTCAGTAACACTAAGACGGTGGAAGCTTTTCTTCTTCTTCTTCATATTATATTATAAAAATGTAAATTAAAATAAAGATAGCAGAAAAATGGGAAAGAGAAAGAAGCAAATGAAAGGTATAAGGGAAAGGGGAAAAGAAGAAAAGCATTGACATCCAACTGTTTTTAGCACAGCAAAAATGCAAAATAGAATTACAACTCTTTATTTTACCAACTTAACCAAGGCTAGACGTTTCTATAACAAACCAGTTTAATCCTCAAAACCCAGTCAAAATTTCATTTTTTCCCCCCGTGTCAAGCACAAAGTCCAGAAGTGATTGTCGAGTAGAAACAAAACTGGATATATTCTTTTCTCTAATTATCACAGTCAATTTTGCCATCTTGATCACACACTATCCACATATCCTTCCATTTCTGCTTACATAATTTTTCTGTCTAAAATTCTTGCTGCAGACCTTGGAAGCTTCTTCATCCATGTTTAAACTAATGAACTGAAGCTCAGGAAATACTTTGGCAACAAGGGTG